CATTACTTGCAAATTTATTTTTGCAAGAAACAAAATAAAATTCTTACAATATTTTCTACAAATTTTTACCATAGAAAAAAATTTCTATGATTATTAAAATTGTAGCAAAATTTGTAAGATATATCTTTAAATTATTTTTCGCAAATAAATTCGTAAAAAATTTCTGCGAATGTTTTTTTGCAGGAAAATTGGCAAAAAATTTCTGTAAATATTTTTTTGCAAGAAAATTCACAAAAAAATTTCTACGAATATTTTTTTACAAAAAAATTTGAAAAAAGTGACATTTTTCTAGTAATGTTTGTTCTTAAAATTTAGATGAACTTATGTAAAATTGTTCATCATCCTAATTGTAGATAACCACCAACCATATGTAAATATTTGAGTAAATTTGTGTCCTTCATTTGGTAGGCTCCAGTCATCTGCTTGGCCACTAGTTGCGGGTCATTGTGGCATATAATTTGTCTTGCCCCACTTTTCGAGCTACGTTCAAGCCAAGAATGAGATCTTTGTACTAAATTATTTCAAGTTTGAAAACCAAATTTTAGTGTCTGTCTAAGTATTAGGCCCACTGACCCTTTTTGCAATTGTCCTGATCTTGCACCCTTTAAATTCGTGTAGAAAATTTTCTAAAAATACACTGCTGAGAAAAGTTATTTATATTGTATATATTAAAAGAATGTGTTATGATCCGATTAGAAACATATATTAAGAAACTTTAATGAATTTTACCTTTAAAATAATTAATTTTTATTTTGTTTGAAGAGGATGTATAACTCTTTTCAATCAGATTGACTCCTATAAAAATAAAGTAATACTTCTTATTATAATTTTATGCTCAAGTTAATGATTTATGATCTTTAGTTAAGAAAAATAAATATCAAATTATTTGAGTTAACAACTTTTGATATCTTCAAAATCATAATAAATACAAAAAAAAAAACGTCAAGAGATAAAAAAAATAGTATAAATAAGAAAAAAAATATTGTCATTAATATACCTTACTCTTATAAAAGATAAAAACAATTTGTATATATAAATGTTTTGGATACTTATATATTTTGCTAATAACAATTAGATTTTTTACTTTTGATAAATGTATAAACAAAAATTTGTATTAAAAATATAAAATAAATAATGTATATAATAATCCTATAAACTACTATTTAATTATAAATCGTTATATATACAAAATTTATCTAACTTTTAAAATAATTATAAAAAAAATATTAATTATTTGTATAAAAGTGTTTATAAAGAAAATACATATATGTTTTTTTACAAGGAAAAAGTATATATACGTTTAATTCCACGATATATACCAAAAACAATAAAGATATATTAAAACTGTTCAGATGAGTCAACTGTGCCATTTTTTTTCTTCTGTTTTCTTGTAATTGATTATGTAGTTTAGTAATTTAAATTCACTGTGCACAGCATAGGCCCACTTTGTAGTTGCTCATAATAAACTCTGTATAAATTAAATATAGAAAGAGGATATTAGAAAACAATAGAAAGAACGCGAACTGCGAGAAAGCCACGTGGAAGGTCAATTTGAAACGCCATATTGCCACAACTTCACCTAAATATTTATTTATTCCAATCCTCCATGAATATCTTCCACGTTAAACTTAGTGGCACCTCTGTAATTCAGAACTATATCTGTAAATATTAAATTGAAAATTTAAAAAATATTTGATATCATCTTTTTTTCAAAAATTATTAATATAAATTAATTACATAAATGTGTATTAAATAATAATTAAATATGAACCTCCATAATAGATATATTCATATAGACATTAAATCGTATGTTATGTAGTTGATAAATAAATTATGTTTATTTGGATAGAAATTTGATTATTTTTTTCAAGTTTTGTGTGTAAAATAATATTTATCGAAAGGGAGAAGTTCTTTAAATAAATATTAGTATATTAAAATGTTAGTCTTTAATTCAAATATATTGTGTTTACAAAATAATATTTGTTTTTAGTTATAATAAATTTTAATTCTGAATTTGATTTTGATACAAAGTAAATATATTTTTTTATATTATTAATTGAATAGAAATCAATTTAAAGTCAAATCAATTTTATTATGTAAAATTAAATTCTAAGTTTAATCTATTATTTATTATAATATGCAAATGAAGTTATTAGTCATGTTTTAGAATTTAAAAATAGTTTAGAGATGGAGATTCTCATCAATGATTTGTTGCTCTAACTCAACATACATGTTATATTTGATAATTCAGTCGTGATCAGTGACGAATCCAGAAAATTTGTTAAGTGGAGGTAATAAAATATTTTATAATATTTTTTATTAAAAATATAATAATTTTTTTAAAAAAGTATATTTTTGTGATAAAAAAAATTAATATATATATATTTTTTAAATTAAAATATCCTCATAAATAAAGTGACAATTTTTTTTTCTGTCTTATATTATATTTAAGTGTGATATTGTAATTTTTAGTGACTTTTTAATTTTAGAGGAACAAAATGACATAAGTTTTTTAGAAGACAAAATGACATTAGTTATTAAGATAAAGATAATATAATTATTATTTGTTTTCTCTTGTATCTATTCTAAATTTTTATGTTCAATCAAAACAATAATATTTTATGAGAACAATGCCTATTTTTTTATAAGAGCAATCTTTTTTATTAAATATGTTCAAGTAAAAAATAAATAAAAACTTTGTATGGTAATTACTATCATTCCTCTTAATGTGGATCCTTTCTTTCCAATACATAATGTACATATACAAGATCAAAAGGGTTAAAACTAAAATAAAAATTGAAAAATAACATATATTTATAAACTAAATTATGACATCTTTAATAAATAAAAAAGTAATAAATCTTTCAGTAAAAAATAAAGTATATTATAATAATAATAAAAATTAAGATAATTTTATCATAAAGTGAAAAAAATCACATAATATAATAAAATATAAATAAATATTAATATATTTTAACATACTAGATATAAAAAAATAATCATTACAAAAAATATTACATATAGTTATATACAAAAAGTATTATTATAATCTATATTTACATTTTTTTAATAATATATGATCAACATATATTATATATCTATAATATATATAAAAATAGTTTTTAATGACAAATATCATGTCTTTATAAAATATGTCATTACTTAATAATTTTTTATAATGAATTATATATATATATATAAATAAATAAAATTTAAATTTTTGGCCCCACTCTCATAAGCATGTCTCCGTCATTGGTCGTGATCAGTTTATTATAGGTATGTAATTCTTTTTAATAGTATTAAGGAGTTGATAAGTAAACATTGAAATATTTCTGATAAATCAATCTTGTTCAATTAAAGAATTAAAGAAAAAACATTAAAAGATTATTTTTAGACATACTCTTATAAAAGATAATGTGTGTGTTAACTTCTTGACAAAGCTATATTTGAACTTTGGTAGTGCACTACTTGAGTTGGAAGTTCGGATAGTTAATTTGCTCAATCAACTTGTAGCTAATACAAGTTAGATGTTGTTTCTAAAGTTATTTTTTTTTCTTTATTATTAATCTCTATTAAAAGAATAATTGAATATAAACTATTTATTCTTATTTAAAAGTCATAATTAAAGTAGTTTTTAATTAATTGAAAGTGTAAAAATCTTTTAAACAATATATTAAAATTAAACATATTTTTAATTATAACTAGATTTTATTGAATGATAATATAAAAAATTCTTTAATTTTTATTTAATCAATTAAGTTTGATTCCCACATAATGTGTGTAAAGAACTTACTGTAATTATTAATTACAAAATAATCTATATATATATATATATATATATTAATTATTATAAATACATAACAAACTTACTATATATGACAAATATATCAGTAGATGTGAATATAAAAATTCTATACAATAAAAAATTTAATTAAGTTGTAATTATTACTAATTCTTTTCTTCTTCTAATGATCATGCATATTTTTACAAAAGTTAGTGTCATATGATAATTGATAGAGATATTACTAGCGACAACATTTTCTTCCTAATATATTAGATAATTACATATTTAATATTAAAATTTAAGCTTAATGGTTAAATTAGAATAACATTATACATGTGTTAAAATTATGACAGCCTTAAATTATTATTATTATTATTATTATTAACATACTCTAAAAAGATAATGAAAAGAATGCACCGCAAAAGAATTGAACCCACATTCTTGGACATGAAAAGGGATTTATCATCTTTTGAACAAACCACTACACCAATAAATCTTATTGTTATATAAGTAACTTAAATAAGTTTATAATATAATTAATTTAAATTATATATTTAATAATACAATACATATTAATTACACATATAATATATATATATATATATATATATAATATTTATATTTTAAATTTGTATTAATTTATATAATTCAACATATAACTTTTTATGTATTTCTTCATATAAAATAAAATTAAAAAAATAATTTTGAATAAAAATTAAAACAAAGTAAATGTGATTATTTATATTTATAATTTTGGAGACTGTGATAAAAATTATTAAAATTTATAAATATAAAATATATATAATAAATATTTTTAAAAAATTTATAGAAATCGAATTATATGATTCAATTAGTGATTATGAATTTGATTTTACAACCTAATATTCTAAGTAATTTGATGATAAATTCAATCTTTAAAAAATTATGGTTAGGATCTCAACATTTGTTAAAATTTCTCTTTTAAATATTTCTTTTAATCGAAGAATTTTCAAAAAAAAAAAATTAACTTCTTATTTCCTTCAACTTATTTTTATAATTTATTTTTAAAACTAATATAAAATTTATAATAAATTATATATAATAATAATAATAATAATAATAATAATAATAATAAAGTTTTAACATATCTAGGGTAGATCTCATATAAGTAATAACGTAAGAATAATAAAATAATGGAGAAGAAGAGATATGCATAAAAGGGTTACGTGTTGTTTAAGCCAAAACCCACAACACAACCCTTCCACCCCTTCCCACAAGCCTTTTTGTCTCTGCCTCGCTCTGCTTCTCACTCTCTTTCTCTTTGATTCTCTTCTTCGAACCTTCTTTTTCGCAAGGAAACCAGCAACCGGTTCAACCTTATCAGGGAGTTACGTTAACACACTATTTATTATTGAATGCGTTAATTGATCGTAAGAAGAAGAAGAAGAAGAAGCAATACTCATAGAAAGAAGAGATGCCAAAGTCTTTCAAGGATTCCCTCAAAGCTCTTGAAGCTGACATACAGTTCGCCAATACTCTGTAATTCTCTTCACCCTTTACATTCTGCAATATTTATCACTATTTTATTATTATTATTATTATAACGACTTTGGGTGTTGGATTCTGTGATTTTGATCACTATGCTGTTTCAGAAATTCTGCGATTCTACTTTTTTTTTTTTGGTAAAATATGTTTTATCTCTCAAAATTTTAGTCTTTGGATAAAATCATATCACTTTTAGTAAATGTAAGCACTGAAAACCTATTAAAGTTTACACGAATTAAAATCGAATTTTTATATGTTTTGAGTAAATAAAAATGTATTTTTCAGTTTTTTTTCTGATTGGGGTTGGGTGAAGTAATTTTTTTTTTTTTTTTTTTTTTTTTTTGTTTATTGGTGGGTTATAATACTTTGAAACCTTGTAGTCTGTGTTGTGTAGTTCTGAACTCTGTTTTGTTCTGTTTGACTAAATTCTAAATAGCAGGCATGCTTGTAATTTTAGAAAAAATTCGGTTGTATTGATTTATTATTTTATATACTTTTTCACCGACTGTGAAATGGATGTTGAAAGTACAGTGAATGGCACCTGAAGAATAGATACAGAGTATTCATATCACGAGTGAAGCAAAAGAGAGCTTATATGTATTTTAAAAAGCACTAATCAAGCACCTTTGGTTGGCTTTATATGTATTTATTTCAACTCCTTTTTCAATTGTGTTTTTGCTTTTGTCATTTTCGAGATTTAACACTGGTTGCGCACGCGCTTATAACTGTGGTGTGTCATTTCATGTTTTTTTCACGGTGTTATTGGTAGGTGCTTTTTTGGAAAAATTCAAGGATACAAGACCCCGATTAAGATAGTTGGGAATGTATCTTTATAATTATTATTTTTTTCCTGTTGTTAATGGTAGGTGCTTTTTAGCAAAATTCAAAGCTGCATTGCCTTTCACTTTTTCTTTACAAATAAACGCCCACATGCTTTTGTATTGGCTCTGTAAGTTGCTATTGTCAATCTTAGCTTTTAATCATAGTTTTATTTTACTGTTGTATAAATCAATTTTTTTTAACTGATATGCGTAAGATTTATATTTGGCTCATCAAAATGAGTTAAATTTACATGGGAATTCAGGATGCATCCTTATGAATGAAGGCTATAAAGAAGCTTTATGGTGTTCTGGCCTGAAGTGAATGTTTTAGATGTTAATGTTCACTGTTTCAATATTGAAAATTTTCTCAACCAAAATATGAATTTTTTTATATCGAATATTTTTTAACATTCATTTTTCAAACCTTGTTTCTGTACAGGGCTTCTGATTATCCAAGAGAAATTGATGGCGCCTGCATACAAATGAGATTGTCTTATAGCCCAGCTGCTCAATTTTTCCTTTTTCTGGTTCAGTGGACAGATTGTTACCTTGCTGGAGCCTTGGGATTGCTTAGGATTCTCATATACAAGGTGATTTTGCTTCCCTTCTGCTCTATATACACTTGCTATCTTACTGAATTCTGAATGGATCTCTATAAAACTTGTTGTCCACAATTAAATATGATAGTGTAGACCAATGCTTCGGTTTTAGTGTTAAGCTTGTAATGAAGTGTTGGTTGGGGCTGCCACAGGTATATGAGGATGGGAAGACAACCATGTCCCTTTATGAAAGAAAAGCCAGTTTGAAAGAGTTCTATGGTAAGTGAATAGTCATAATGAATTAAAATAGTCAATTTTGGTCCAAGAGCTTTAGCTTAAGTGGTACCAAGTCCCCTTAAGGACTGTGTGTTCTAGGGGTTGAATACAAAAATTTGCTACTTTGCGTCTGCTTTGGCCACCATACCCTTCCCCACATCAGGAACTAAAACTCCCTTTTAACCTGAAAAGAGAAGTCAATTTCAAAACCATTTCATGTCTTTATATGAAACACTTGGATGATTTTTTGCTTTCCGTTAGAAAAGTGGCTCAAATTGCTGATGTGATTGCCTTTACACTCTTTTAACAACAGGTGTGATCTTTCCCTCTTTACTACAACTCCACAGAGGAATCAATGATGTAGAAGAAAGAAAACAAAAGGATTTATGCGTTACAAAGTACAAGCCAAAAGACATAATAAGAAAAGGAAAACTATCAGAAATTGAAATAGAGAGAGAAGAAGAATGTGGTATCTGCATGGAGATGAACAACAAGGTTGTGTTGCCCAATTGCAACCACTCGTTGTGTATGAAATGCTACAGAAACTGGTGAGCAAATTTTGATTTGTATGTTACATTATGATATGGATACCATATTGTCGCCCCAAACCTTTTGCGAACTTGAGTCAATAACGGAGAAAATAATTCTAAATTCTAATGAATAAATAGTAATAAAATTAAGACAAGTTAAAATCTTAAGCATATAGAACTGTTATTTAATGGATATTGATCGATGCCCAAAAACATGCAATTGTAGGGTACAACAGAAGCGGACTGATTGTATTTATTTTATGCTTAGTATATAGCAATATGAAAGAAATGAGCTACCATTAGTCGAAAAGTAGGAAAAAGTTTCCCGTCTATTCTTTTGGCATGTGACTAGATTCCTCCTATTGAGATAATTTAACTAAGCAGAAATATCAGGCTTGAGTTATTTCTAAGATGTTTTCAAAATGTGATTAACTTTGTCAATGCTATTCTGCTGACATTGTCTTCACTTCTAAGGATTAAGCTTTTGTCGTTTGTTTAGGCATGCACGATCTCAATCTTGTCCTTTCTGTCGGGATGGTCTTCAAAGAGTAAACTCTGGTGACCTATGGATTTACATGAACAACAATGAGATAATTGACTTGGCTTCAATCAACAAGGAAAATTTAAAAAGACTATTTATGTACATTGACAAGTTGCCTCTGATTGTGCCAGATCCTATATTCTTGTCTTATTCTCAGCGCTTTTGAATTTTATCTAGTGAATTTTGGTGTCCTTTGGATTTGCATGAGCAGCTATGAGATATATACTTGGCTTCAATCAAAAAGGGGACTTTAATTAGGCTAGCTATGTACATCGACAAAATGCCTCTGGTTCCAGATCCTGTCTTCATGTCTTATTCTCAGCTCTTGTGATTCCCGTTTAGTGATAGCTAATCTTTTTCAGATTACATTTTGTTTTTGATCGTCAGTTTATGCTGGAATGATTCGAAATGTAAATACAGGTTGCTTTCATAGTCAAATAATATTTTGACTCCATTCAAATTGAGTTATGGAGTTCTCTAGTCCAAAAGTCTTTCTGGTCTCTATAACTATACGAGTAAGTGATGTTACTCACGTACAGCAGATAATTGAACAATTTAGTTGTAAATACTAATTGTATGTTTGTATCCGTTTTTGTCCATATTCATCATCGTGTTGATTGATCGAATTCAAATATTTTGTGTTCTTGATAATGCTTGATCTCAATATCTGAAACATTTGTGTGCAGACTTTTGTTGTTCTAAATGTTTCTCATGAAAATATTAGTTTTTGCTCTTAGTCAAAAAGAAAATGAAATTTATAGTTGAAGTGGCCTCACCTTGCTACCCATTCCCTTTTTTTGTTTTCTTGCAATTTTGAGCTTTAGACACCAGGGCTAAGATATGTATCCGCATCCTCATCTTTATTAACATTCCCTCCCGAGCAATTTTATACAACGCTCATGTGGTGCCACATTGTTGTTGCTCATCCTTGTTAATTCTTTTTGGTCCATATACCACTTAAGCTATGCATACTTACAATGTCACTCATTTTCTCCTTCCATACCAAAAAAGCACATACTCTTTAGACAGAAGCACATCTTCTGATCGTGACTCTGCAGCCTGCACCCAATTACACTGCTATCTGAAGTACGTCAGAGCATTGGTTGTTGTCCCTACACCATTGCCTCATACGTACACACTTCATTTTGGTACAATTTTTCGTTACCTCACTTCACATACTACATCCTAAAAAAAAGATACAGGGTGTTGTGATTAGTGGAGTTTTCTTTCTTTTTTTTTTTTTTTGAACAGAATTAGTGAAACTTTTTAATAAGGGAAACATGTTAAGTATGATAAAGACAAGGTGATAATAGAGATACCATGTGGACTAATAATATGATCAAAATAAAGTATATAAGTAGAGATTATTGGGGAGTTGAACAATTGAGAGTACTTTATTAATGAGTAGTGAGTAAATCACATAAGTGAGTTTGACACTATATCATAACTTAAAATTTTAAGGTATCAAGTTATTTAACCTTTTTCACTTATATATTACTTAATATGTTCAACTCTAACTGATTTGGAACTCTCTTTACACTTGAAATTTAACATTGTTCTTTAAGTGTGAGTCTCTTTCACATGGTCACGCTCCCTCCTCAAGTTGAAGTCTTTTTTTCATTCACAAGCATTTAATGGTAGCCTACTTGCATTATCGCTGCACATTAACGAGACATGTTTTTTACACTTCTAGGAAGACTTTTCGATATAAGGATGATCTCATTCTTGGATCCTATGTCAATTCACTTTTGGCGTCTACAATCAATTTCATAGTCCAATACTTATTTGAGTCGATCACCAATGACTTGGTTGAATCATTGGTTTTGATACAATTCTTGGGAAGTTGAATGCTAGGGAACACTTCATTCTTGGGTATTGAGTAAATCATATAAGTGATTTTGATATCACATCATAATTCAAAATATTAAGGTATTAGGTTGGTGGATTTTTCTCACTTATATATTATTCAAAATGTTCAACTTTAACCAATGAATACTTATAAGTTAGTTTGTAGGATTGATTTAGATTAAAATTCACTTTTTAATATTATATAAAAGTATAATTTAACGATTTTTGTTAGACATACTAAGTCATTCGCTATCGAAGTGTTATTATATCACCTATTCTAAAAATTTTACTTTTGAGATATTTCATCCCCTTCAATATGATAGTATATTGTGGATCTCACATTTAACTAGTGGTGTGACTAGGAGTGGGTATCAGGGCCAATTTAACCCATATAAAATGAATTACATAAGTTTAATTTATAAAATAAATAGTCTAAAGGACTTTGGCTCGCATTTGATCTATTTATCTACATATTAGTTCGCAATTTCAATGAAAATTATATAAAAATATAAAAAAATCTTTAAAATTCTAAGAATTTCTTTCCTTTTGTTATTCAATCGCGAGAAAGAAAAAACAATATTTAAAAAAATGAATATAAATATATTTGTAAACAACAAACATTTTCAATGAGAATTTAAAGTCTTATCATAACAATGGGAAAAAAAATACAACAAACTAGCCAATAATTCTTGATTATGGATCTTTTACCTCCTCTAAATTTATATTTTAAATCCATAGTCTCTAATTTCTTAATTATTAATTTTAACTTGACTAAATTGTATTTTTTTATTTTTTTAATTTTGTCAATTCGCAATTCTACTCCTGCTATTTTAAAATAAAGAATATTTAATCTCTTTAATTTTAAAAATATAAAATTTTGATTTTTTTTAGAAATTGATATTTATTAATTATTAAATTTTAATATTTATTCGTATTTCAATGATGTGATATTTAATAATATGATATATTGAGATAAATTTTTTTAAAAATAAATCATGAAAATAAAATTTATTAATAAAATAAATATTAATTACTTGTTAAAATTCTATATATCAAGTAAATTGTCACATCAATATATCATAAGTGGTGATAGTTCATTAAATAATGTCAAAAGCTAGTGATTAATGAGCATTAAATTGATGGTAAGATCAAAATTTTATTTTTTAAATGAAAAGATTAAATATCTCTATTTTAAAAATATATAGACTAAAATTACAAATTAATAAAAATAAAGGGACAAAAATATAATTTAGTTAAGATAAAATGAATAATAATTAAGAAATTAAGGAGAGTGAAAATATAATAATTGAGAAATTAGAGGAGGTAAAAACCGCTTAAGCAAAACAATGTAGATGTATTTTTCTTAAAATCAGGAGATGTAAAGATCTACGTCTATGTTCCATTTTGACGTAACTTGCTTAAAATATGTAATTTTCATATGGTGGCTAGGGCGGAGGCCCCATGCATGTCTCCCACGGTGTGAGACTCACCACGTTTGTCCAATACGTGAATTTTTTTTTATTGAAAGAACATGATTACATTGAGTAAATCCATTGTAAAAGTACTATTAGTAAACATTCTTTTGCAAGAAAGAAATTTCACGTGGAAAAGAGCACCATGTTAGTCAATATATCCTAATACGACCTCGTTAGAAATCACTTCATGGAAGGTTGTGGTTTTCGACCTCAAAACTATACACTCCTTTCATTGCAAACACCAAGCAGAAGAGAGAAGGTTGCTTAGTGAAGTAACCGTTCCTTACCTTTATGAACGGAAGGAGGCGCGGTGGGTAGACGGCAGAGGCGGGTGGGTGTTCCTGAGCTTTGCACGGGTGGACGTTCTGCCTGGACCTGGCGCGCGTGACGGCGACGACAGAAGCAGGAGTTGAAGAAAAGGAAGGGTAAAGAAAAACGAAAAGAACTGTTAGAATAGTGGATTAAGCCTAACTCAACTCTACAAAACTGGCTTATAAGGTGAGGGTTGCTTTCTACTTATATACTAAGTAATTGCCTAATCTCTAGTCGATGTGGGACTTGGATTTTTTCTAATACACCCCCCTCACGTCCAGCACTATTGGGCTTGGTACGTGGATAAATGGTAGGTGGCCCTTTTTCAATGATATTAGATTGACGGGACTTGAAATACACCCCCTCATGCCTATGGTGCATGTATCAATCAATGGTGGGTAACCTATTTTTAAAGTGGATCTAAATGGCTCTGATACCATGTTAGAATAGTGGATTAAGCCTAACTCAACCCTACAAAACCGGCTTATGAGGTGAGGGTTGCTTTCTACTTATATACTAAGTAATTGCCTAATCTCTAGTCGATGTGGGACTTAGATTTTTTCTAATAAGAACCTCTCAGGAAGAAGAAGAAAAAGAGACGTTGGGTTAAAGAAATAAGAAATAAAAAAAATAAAAAATAAAAAAAAAATAAAAACTAAATTAATAAAAATTTAATATTTATATATTTATTATTATTTTATTTTATTTTTAATATCTACTTATTGTATATTTTTTCTCATAATTTATTTTCTCTTATTGTAGTGCATTTGTCATTTTTAATAAAAAAATTAATTTGGTTCATAAATTATTTGAAAAAATATTCTAAAAGTTGAATTTTTTAAAGTTTCTTACCATTAGAGTAAATTTCTGTTTGAGTTGCTTAATACTGACATGGTACATTAGAGATTATTTTTTTCATTTTCTAATGCATGAAACAACTCAAATAAGTTACTTTCATTAGAGATGCCCTAATACAACCTCTATACGGTCATCGTGGAAGGTGGTCTTTCCATTTGCATCTATTTTCAAAATAAACCTTCTCATCCACCGCGTTCCTTTGTCTTCCCAAAAAGTAAAGTTGATTGTGTTGAAGGACGACATTGTGCAATCTTTGGTGGTGTTTTTGTTGAGCTTCATAACATTGTCCACTGGCACATATATTTTAGAAACAAATATTTCAGACAATGTGTTATTAAGGAACTCAAGGAAAATACCTTCCTTAACTGCATAATGTCACTTGCTTTTCAATATGATCAAATTTTACATTTCAAATTGTTGGAAAATATGACACCCAAACAGAATTAATCACACATTTAAAAGAACTCAGAAGGAATATACAAATAATTGCCGTGGTTTAGTACTTTTTATCTAGGTCCACGGAATTGTTTAAAAAAAATTTCATTGTATCAAACATAATTACAAAAATTGTAACTCACGCCAAATTGTGTATATTACTCTATAAATTTGAATATTCTCACTCTAAAGTTACAAGAAATGATAACACACTTGCTATAAGAGATTCTCTCACATAAATGAGCACACACGCATATACACACGTTTTTCGCCCTTGATATTTTTTATTATCTTACCAACTTCACAAGACTCTTTATTTATAGGAGGTGAAATAACCATTCATTCACAAACTTTTATTAATAAATTTTGTTCATGACTTATCATTCATGACTCTTCACTCATGATTTATCATTTATTTGAAAATTCAATTATTTTTCAACAATTTACCCCTCAATTAAAATTTTCAAATAATGACTTTATCATAAAATTTTACCTTATTCTTAACTTTACTTCTCAAAGCTTATCCTTTCAAGTAACAAAGATTCTTCTCATATTTTTCTTCTCTCGCAACACCAAACATTTCCCTTTATACACCTTGCATCTCCACTTTGAACCAACATACTTGTATCCTTGCAATGTCATATCTCCCAGTGATATGATATTAGC